TTCCTATGGAAAGCTTTGGGTGTTCCAATTCGACAATGGAAAATGCTTCTTAGTGAAGGCACTGCTTACCAATATATATGCGATACTTTTGACAGCGTCATTAATCACTACAAGCTTTCTAATGATGGATATTTTTATTTACTCTGCCTCATGTTACATTATAATTCTGAATCATGTCCATCTTATTTAACACAATCTGGTTTTGATACATTAAAGAGAGGTGCTTTAGACAGTATTAGAATTCATACCAATTATATTGTTGATGTTTTGAAAGGTTTAAATGATGGGGAGTTAACGAAAGCTGTCTTAATGGATCACATAGATTGGTTTTCAGAAAGTGAGGCAGAGGAAGAGATTAAGCAGCTAGCAAGAGCTGTTAAAAAAGGTGGCTATGTGTTTTGGAGATCAAGTGCTAGGCACCCATGGTATAATAAGGTATTTGAGAAGTATGGGTTTGCCGTTGATCCAATTAGCGTTCGAGAACCTGGATCAGGTGTACCTCTTGATAGAGTTAACATGTATGCCAGTTTTTATCGTGCGATTAAGCTTTAGTCAGCGTTCTTGGATTGGAACTCCACTGGATGTAAAGATTTTCCAGTGTTTCAGTGGTTCTGGTGAAAAGTTCCACTGGATCGATTTTTTCGCTGGAACATGTATATTATTAACCAATGAAAATGCAGAATAGCCAATAATATCTTCTAAAAGATCACTTATTATATGCTATAGTAATTACGCAATAATCCCTGTAAATTTGAGTGTTTTTACTGTTGGTACAATTTTCCAAGAGTGGAAATCGCTAAAGTGCGGTAAACGCACTATTTAATTTAGTGTTTAGAATTGGGGCAGGAAAAATTGCCTTCCGATTAGATTTATTTTTGTATATTCAGATTTTAACCCTTTTTCTCGTTTCGCAATCTGATTGCTGATATTATATGAAATTATCCCACCCTTATCATCATATTATATAAAGAATTCTTACACTTTTCACTGATACAAAAAGTAGTGCATATTTAGTATATAGTATACATATATGGAGTACATTATCATTTGTGGTAAATCTATATTACCGTATACAAGACCCGGGCTCTTACATTCCGCCAATTTTTAAATAATAGGCCCGCATTATAATAGGCAATCTAGATATGATATTTGAAAAAACTGTTTGTTTAATAGTTCCCGTGATTCGCATCCGGGTATACTACATAGTGGCTAGACGAGTGTCTGTCTGTCATTATTCAGCCTTTTCCACATGAATCCACCAATTTACGATTTTATAGTCGTTATATTTACAGGTATTTTAAAAATTTAAAACCACTAAGTTACCTAAATTCCTGTTTGTTGGACAAAAGGACCGGTAACGATTCAGTTAAGGTAATACGGATAGAGAATATTGGTTTATTTAGTTGATATCATGTTACGAAAAAAAGTCAGTAACAATAGCTATAAATTAGAGCTCTTACCCGGGTCAGAAAGTACCGACCCGGGCGGGTCGGGTATTGACCCGGGTTATAACCCGGGTCAACGGGTCTTCATAAAGTTTTTGAAGTTAATCCTTAAAAGTTGATGCAAGGATACTTAATTAGAGCTGTTAGTATAGAGAACAGCTGTACTCCAATTATTTAAATTGGAATTTTTCGGAATTTGTATTGAAAAAATTTTCTACACCGGGAAATACGTGACCCCTAAAGATCGTGTTCCAAGTTGATTAAAATTTTATCAATCGGTTAGTTGACAACTATAGTTGTAACTAACGGTTACTACAAATATTGTTTTTTCTTATGATAAAAAAAAGTAAAAGTCAATAACGTAGCTGTTGTATTATGAAAATGTAAAAGTTTTAAAAAAAACAAAATTAATTGTATAATGAGATGATCAAGTTTCTGATGTTAAAAGTTCAGTCCAAATTTGAGTCAGTCTTTTGAATTGACTTAGCCTGGACCTTTTTTTTTTGTGAGTCAACTTTAGACTTGAAGAACCTTAGATCGCGGCGTCTCGTTTCCGACAATCAATTCATATTTTACCGACGATTAATTCACCGGCAAATTTATTTCGCAGACATTTACATTTTATTTCGCCGACACTCATTTCACTGACAAAGTAATTCTAGTCATTGTCGTTAGAGTCAGGCTTGGAATTACGAAAAAAAGTTGTCGGCGAACTAAACATGTTGGTGAACTAAATGTCGGTAAAAAATTGTGAAATAAAATGTTGACGAATGATTGTCGGTGAAATGACACGGATCCCCTTAGATAGGGTGATTGGCAAGCTGGCGAGCAAATTGGCGAGTTTGGCGAAACAAAACAATTGTGGAGAGAGTCTTGTCACTATTTGGAGCGCTAAAAAAAAAAAGCTTGCCTCACCAGCTTGCCAACCACCCTAACTTTAGGACTGAATCATTAATAGTCACATGCAAGTTTCAATTTCATGTGATCACAAAGATAGTGATAACGATTTGGTTATTGTACATATAATGTATCAGTATTCCATTTTCTGGTCAATTTTTTTTAAGTTGACCGTTTGTTTGAAAATGCAATTTTCTTGTGGGCTTGATATAGTAGTATCCTTACTACAGTACCAGACAGTAAAAGGCATCCAATTTATACTATAAGGCGCCGATTTTTGGTGCCTACATAATCGGTTTTAATTGGCTAATTTAATGTAAATGATTCTGATTGGTTAAATAAATCTAATCTTCTTTTTTTTATATTAAACGCCAATTTTTTAATCTAATATAAACTTTAACTTAAACAAACAATAGGAAAAAATCCTCTGACAGAAATGTAGTTTGGCTAAAAATTTATTAATTTGTCAGAGTTTTTTTTTAATTTAGCTTTTTAAAAAAGTTATAACAAAGTTTTTACTGATAAAAAGTGAATGCGTTTTACTGTCTGGGTACAAAGAGTGAAAAATGGGGAATGTTGTTTTTTCACTATACTAATGATCGACTCCTAGCTCTTAGGTGTGAAAAGATACCAATTCATTTGCTGGTTTAGTTTCGTTTCTTTCTCTGTCTTCTAAAACCTCTAGCAGGTCTTCTACTTGACATGCCACCTTCGATTTGTCCGCCTTGTATAGTGAATAAGAATTCTTTATAAAGGTTTCAAATTTAGTTGATGAATCAAGAAGAGCAGTGTTGTACATGGACATATGTCCAAGCAAATTATTGGGCGTGGACAGTCCATGGACATTCCATAAACAATGTCCAATGCCCATGTCCATAATTTGGACATGGACATATCCATATTTTTTATATGTCCATGTTCATGTCCATTGACAACACTGAAGAAGAGCATACATAACTGAAAATTCTGAAAAGTAGACTCAATACCTTTAGCTCGTTCTTCGCTGCTTCAAAATAGATTGGTTAGGTTAAGGTGCTACAAGAAGCCATAATGATAAATAATTATTTGCAGCGACCCAAGCTCACTAGTTTGGGATTAGATAGAATTCCAACTAGGTTTCGCAAAATATCTTTAATTTTCCATAATGTCAACCATTTTAATTTATTTTATGCCAATAATTCCAAATTTTTACGCGTAAAAATTGGGACTAATCTCATGTAAGAATGACCTAATCTACTTTGAAACTTTCTTATAAACACGTATATGAAAGTTCTCTTTTCTTGGATTTGGACTTGCTGCAATTATTGCACTTGAATTTGAATCAATTAAATCATAATCATGTAACTATTGATAGCCGGTGTTACTGTCGAAACATTTCTGCACCTCACATATCCCTTATGATCATCGTCATTCTTAAACTCTATTAAACATTACCTTGGCTGACCCTCCTTTGATCCCATTAAACCTTTAAAATCGCACCCATGATTACGTTTGCCCCTTTCTAATTTATACCCTCTATATATATATCTGTTATTACTATTTATATCCATCATACCATGATATGCTATGAACATTCATGTTAACATCAGGCATCCGATTATTATCAAAACCCTGCTAGCCCAATGGGAGTGTTATTGAGGGGGTGCATTCGCCTTGTTTGTATCTCAGATTCTACCTGGATAATTCCTCCTTTATAATAAAGACGTCTTAGTGATTCTTCATTATATGGTTATTTCACAGCAAAACCATTAGGGATGCGGTTATATCATTATAATAAAAAATGGTAGTATTATACCAGGTATAATACCGTATAATATGGTATAGCATGGTATAACAACCATTATGCTCTCAGCTTAATATGATTCGGAATTTTCCGGAATTATTCTAAGGGAAACTTTCGGAATTGCAGATAAAGCAATTTAATTGGCTAGCCCATTTCTATTATTGGCATTATTATACATATACCTATGTGTATAATGCTGGTATTATACCAATAGTATAATACGGTATAGGTATAGTTCACATCCCTAAAAACCATACCTATAGTATATATATATTATGAAAGAACCCATATCGTATTTCTTAACTGCATTGATTGTTATGTACACGTGTAGCAAAGCGGCACGTATCAGCCAATCATTTGTCAAATTGCCGTATTCGACAATTGACCCTATCCGGTTATGATTCGTAGGAGTTATCGGCTGTGTTTTGATTTGAATAAACATAGTTACATCGTAATACGTGAAAAATAACAAGAAGAAATCAGAGACGGTGAATGTATCCATTCCAATATCAATTGACCAATCAAAACGTGCATCTAGTGCTAGATGCAAGTTTTGATTGGTCAATTGATATCTGAATAAAATAAAATGGAATGGAAGTATTCATCGTCCCTGGAAGAAATATTTCATGATTATATGAGTTTGCCGGATAAGGAACATAATTTACAAAACCCATTTATAAATTTATAATGTTTTAGCAACACCCATTTGAAATTCGTTCTACGTATTTCGCTTTTATTATCTAGCTACGCTGGTGCGTCAATCTGATACACGTATTTCAGATGTGTGTCACTAATTAAAAATGGCGGGTATGAACCAAGTCCTAATATTCCGGGATACAACCTAAAAAATCTTATTTTTTATTTAGGTTTCCTTTTTTAGTTTGTATCAATGTCTTCGGCCAATTATCGTTATAGTTTAAGATCTGCCGTGACATTATAATTTCCAAATGTAAAACGGAGAAGTTGGAAAAATTGAACTGACGCAGAATAATCGTCAGAAAGCGCTCTTATCAACACGCACACTTATTTATGCGAGTGATACAAACCCCCAAAAAGAAGATAGTCAATCAGAAGGCGTAAAATTTTGGTAAACCATATAAACGCGATCTATTTTCCCATTTAAATTTAACTGACACCTTGATATCTAGATGCTGAAAAGCAATCGCATCTCTAATCAGCGAAGCGTCCCTCTAATGGTTAATAAAATGATTCTTTTAGCTATCGCTATCTAGTATTATCCTGGACTGTCATATTAGTATTTATGCAAAGTTTTAATTCCCAATATTACGACCTCGATGCAAAAGTTTATCCTCGAAAAGTAATCAATGGTCACACGAAAACAGCGGATAAGCGTTTAATTTCATAAATATTTTTAAAGTGGGATTTACTTATTTGTGTCAGTAATACAAGGAAACGTTAAAATCGAAAGATTTTATATTGGTTTATTATAGCATAACCTTATATATATATTAAATTGAAAAGCTTTCGGATCTGTGTTCTAAATACTCCAGTAAAAGTTATGTTTTTTTTAAAATGGATATTTATTTTAGTAAATTTTCTTATTTTAGCAACATCTGATATTGCTTCCGCATATTTGGTTTACCGTTTTTGAGAAAGTATACTATATTGGCTAATTTCTATTATTACTATACTTTCTCTTATTGAAAACTGTCTCTACAAATAATATTGTGTTTATTGTTATTGTATAAAAGTAAATATTTTTATTTGTTTTATTTACTTGATAGAATTTTCGCGCAATTTTTGCGCGTTTCGTAACTTGTATAATTTTTAAAAAGTAATTTTGCCTTTTTTATTTTAAATTACATAAAACCCTAAAATTGCACATTTTTGACATTTTTTTTTTCTTAATAAAGAGTTAAAAAATAACCCCAAAAACAATTGCGAAGCTGATATTATATTATTGCCATTTCCCTATATATACCTTCAAAATTAACCTTTACCCTCCCATTCTTTTTATATAATTTACTGGATTTCATTTCAATCGTTCACTTTTTTTTTTGTCCTTTTTGTAAGATGACACCTGAAGAATTTAGTCGTGAAATCTTTCTTCTAATGGAAAAGGGCCTTTCAATTTCTCCTCAAGGGGCCAATTCTGAGGACTTAGCTCAAAACTTTAAGGATAAAAATATACAGCCTACCATGGAAAATGTATATATGCTTGTTATTAAATCCAGAGCCAAGAAACTTGGCGATTTTGACGACTCTGTTGTTGCTCGATATGGTGAACTCTCGTGGTTCACGCTTTCTGAAGAAGAAGAAAGTAAAATTAAGATGCAATACCAAACCATTGTAAATCAAATTATTACAATTTTGACATCACGTTCATCGATGTCTATGCTAACTATTTATACCACTTCAACCACTGAGCAGCCGTGGGAAGACATATTTAATGACGGTATTAGCTATACTTCACAAATTTCACAAACAAGTTCTAACGAACAAGGCATTGACATTATAGAAGGAATTCTACCTTAAATTAATTTTGCAAAGCATTATAATATGATACGTAATCAAAAAAATTGCCTATATGATATTTATGATATGTTAAACTAAACTATGTATTTTGTAATTAAGTTTTTATGTAGCCTATTTTTAAGTTAAATATTATCTTGTAAGTATATATACAGAATTATTATGTTAATTAGACCTTGAAACTATATGCATAAGTAATTTTTTTAATTTGTTGAGAATTTAAAGTATTTAAATTTTTTAAATAAAGCAATATTTTATAAACTTATTCTTTATGAACCTGCAAATTAGCGATTTGCAATTAACTATGAAGTAACTATGGTAGTAGCGATTTTCTTTATATTAACTACATTACCAATATGTCTGCTACTGTTGATTTTTTTAGTTTTAAAGTTAATATAATTATTTTATTATTACTATATATTTACTATATGGGAGTAGTGTTCCTATGAACCAGAACCGGACCGAACTTTGGGTTGAGTTCAAGTTCGGTTCAAAATTGAACCAGACCCGAGCCAGACTTATTTTTAAAAATACAGTCCGGTCTGAGTTCAATATTGAACTTTTAAACCAGGTTCAAGTTCAGTCCGGGTTCGGTTCAAAAGTTCATGAACTTGTTCAAGTTCAATGAATCTATGAATTGTTCACATAGGCTGGGCTTGGGGTGCTCTCAAACGTCATTCCAATGTGATTCGCAATGGCACTCAGGCAAAATTATATTTACATAAAATTTTTATTGAATATGTAATTTATGATGTAATTGAAATTTTCTCAATCATCATCTTTTCGATGTGATTAATTAGTGATCGTAATGATGCTTATTTAATAGAATCAATTGAAATAAACATTGCAATCGATGTTTGAGCGTTTTTTTTATTTATTTGTCAAAAATAAAAAAAATAAAAAAATGAAAAATAAAAAAGCGAAAATAAAAAAACTAAACCAACTGTTAAACAAGAAGAAAATGCTGTAAATTATCGAAAATATTCTGGCGAAGCATCAACTTCAGCAGCCCCTGTTGTTCCATTTACTGACTTCACCAACTATAATATAACAATATCCCGCCTCTCCATTTTTTATGAATCCATTAGGCCGTTCGAAGTTAATTTTTTGGTTAAAATCCCCCCTTTGGCGTCCCCTGGTAAAATGAACATATAAAAAAGTAAAAATTAAAAAATACCGTATAACCACGAAATAACGCGATGGGGTGTCAAATTTCGGCCTAAATTAAGCTTAATTTAGGCCGAAATTCGAAATAACTCCCTATGCGCTATTTCGCTGTTATACGACAGATATAAAAAAAAATAATTTAAAATAAAATATTTAAAATGAAATAATTAAATTAAAATAAATTAAATTAAATTAAATTAAATTAAAAGTTTAAACCCATGGCTTTTTATGGTTCCGGCTAAAAATATAAAAAAATAAAAATTTTTTTTTAAAAAAAACGAGAAAAAAGATAAATAATAAAAAATAAAGCTAAAATTTTAGTTTCCACTTGGCTGTCCTCTCATATATGTTTATTTCAGTTTGTGATGAAACTATTCAAGAAAAACTGCTGAAAAAAAAGCTTCCAAAGTGTTTTTTTATTTAGAGAAATTATTATTAATGAGTAAGAAGAATTTTAAATAAACATTTAACTTTTATGGAAATAAAAATTACAAATCAATTATTCTAATTGATACTTTTTTTACATTTTTTAAGCCATCTGATCAGTAATTTATGAGGGACAAAATTTGTATTCAGCCAATAGAAACTTGTGAGGATTAGTAAACCCAAAATTCTGATCTGTAATTGTTACATACATACTTCATTTCAGAGCGTAGAAGTTATTTTGTTTTATCATTAGACCAAGAGGACAACAGAGCATTTACAGAAACAAAACTAAACGAAATATTAGGAAAATTACAAAGTATTTACCCAATGGCTGAATATAAGCCAAGAAAAGACAACAATTTTTCTAATAATATAAATGTAGTAATAGAAAGCCCGTTAATCACACAAATTAAGTGGTTAGCAGATAATAAACAAGTAAAGAGAAAGAAACCAGAGGATCCGCCAAAGTGGGTAAAACAAGACAACATTCAGATCTAATCACTTGATCACAGGAATTTTGGCTGTAAAAATTGTATATATAAAGTTCTTTTTCTCGGATGAATGCATTATATAATTAATTATTTACTTATTTATTTTTTGTTTCTCTCTTTTATAATAGGAATGTTATTAGTGTAGTGGTCTAGTCGTCACCCTCTCCAAGTGGCAGGTCTAGAGTTTGAATCCCACAGACGATGAATTTTGAAAAATAGGCTTGCGTTACGGTTGACGGTTATGATTATCAGTTGGATCTTAGATAAATCTGTAACTTCG